CGAGGATCGAGCTACAAGTAAATTACGTATTGTTTATGATGCATCATCGCATGCCCCAGGATCCATTTCTTTAAATGATTGTCTACATGTTGGGCCAAATTTATACCCTGAAATATTCGAAATATTGTTAAGATTTCGGTATAATCTAATAGCCTTCACCGCAGATATAAAACAAGCCTTTTTACAGATTCTCATACATGAAAAAGATCGAGACGCAACCAGGTTTCTGTTTTCTTCTTCCGATTTCCCTTAATGATGAAACCATTTCTCCCTGACATATATAGGTTCACTAGAGTTTTATTCGGAATAAATAGTAGTCCATTTCTATTAGCCGCTACCATTAAACATCATCTGAAAAAATATAATAAACTTTATCCTACAAACGGTTCCACATTTTTGAATGAGAACGTATATGTAGATGATGTGATTGGAAGCCAACCAACGATCAATGAAGCATTAACTTACGGAGTCTAGAAATCGGTCCAAATATTTAAGGAAGCAAGCATGCAGGCTTCAGAAATCACAAATGGCATAGTAACTCGAAGACAACTTACATGAATTGTGGGTAAAACAGGGTATCGTTCCAGATGAAAATCCTGAAGATTTTTAATAGAGAAAATTTCCCATTTAAAGTCTTAGGTATGGCATGGGATAATTCAAAGGACTTACTGTATTTTGATGTTCGGAAACTTATTGTCTTTCACATCTAAACCAATAGAAACAAAACGATTTCTTCTACAAGTGTTGGGTCGGATATTCGATCCGATTGGAATTTTAGGACCTTTCACTGTTAGAATAAAGTGCTTAATACAGAAGATTTGGTTGTCACAAATAGATTGGGATGAACCGTTACCTGAAGATTTGTCCTCTGAATGGAGAAAGTGGTGTGAAGAGCTACCTCAAATGTCTGGAGAAAGTGGTGTGAAGAGCTACCTCAAATGGCTGAATTCTCCATCTCTCGTTACCTTTTCATGCACTCGAACTTTAATGTCGAAAATCTCGAACTTGCATTGCTTTTCAGATGCAAGTGTCAAAGCCTATGGTACAGTCGCATATTTACGTTTCACGACAGAAAATAAAGAAATCAAAACGGCCTTTGTCTCTTCTAAAAATAGGGTAGCCCCACTAAAATCCCTTACTTTACCGAGGTTAGAATTAATGGGGGCATTGTTATCAGTTAAGTTAGTCAGCAATATTCTGAAAGCACTGAAATTGAGAATTCCGTGCTATTTTTGGACAGACTCAACAATTACTTATTTTTGGATCCAGAAACAACCTGAAGCCTTTAAACCCTTTGTCAGGAATCGTGTCGAAGAAATACAAAAATTGAGTTCACCTTAAGATTGGCATTAACCCTGCCGATCTCGTATCTCGGGGAACGAAGATTTCCAAGTTAATAAATGAGACCATTTGGACGCAAGGTCCCCAATGGCTTCAACTCCCTCACGAACTTTGGCCTAGATTAGATATTAAAGAAACATAGATGAAAAACAAGCTGGAATACCGAAAGAGATCCGGTGATATACATCAACTTGAATGTACAATCGAAAAAGTGCAGATGATCTTTTCGACATATCAAAATATAGCAAATTAGAGAGGGTGTTGAGAGTCACTGCTTGGACAACACGTTTCATTAAAAAATTAAGAAAAACTAGCGACATTCAAGGAACTCTCACAGCTGAAGAGTTACAAGAAGCAGAAAATTTCTGGATAAGATCAGAGCAAAAGAAGTTTTTTGCCGAAGAATATAAATCCCTCAAAGAAGGTAATTCAGTTGGAAAAAATTCTCCTTTGTATAATTTTCTTCCTTATATTGATGAAAAGGAAATCATGAGGTTGAGAGGAAGACTGGAATTTTCTGACTTCTCACTAGATAATAAAACATCCAATAATCTTACCTAAAAAATTCTCGACTAACGATTCTATTGTATGCAAAGAACATGAGAGATAAGCATGGAGGAATTGCTGCAACTTTAGCTAAAGTCAGATCACGCTTCTGGATTCCTAAAGGACGACAGTTAGTCAAAAAACATTAAAAGTTGTATAATTTGCCAAAAATTTAGCTAAACCAGCAACCAGATGACAGCACCCTTACCAAAGGATAGAATCCAAGAATCGCCTCCATTGCAGTCTGTGGAATTGATTTCGCCGGACCAGTTTACGTAAAGAGTTCTAAAGACATTCGAAATCCTATATTGTTTTGTTCGTTTGTGCAGTAACCGAGCTGTACATTAGAACTTGTATCAGATATGTCAACAGAATCCTTTTTACTTGCATTTCGCAGATTTTGAGCAGAAGAGGAAACTGCGTAATCATCTACTCTGACAACGCCAAGACCTTAGATAATAAGAGGATAAAAAAAGAACTTGAGAATTTTTCAAAAGTTTTGAAAAGATGACAAAATTCAAGAATTTCATTGCCAAAGGAAAGAATCCATTGGAAATTTATAATCGAAGCAAGCCCCATGGTGGAGAGGGTTTTTATGAGAGACTTGTTAGATCTGTTAAAGAATGCTTAAGAAAAATCGCAGGGAAAGTATTGTTGACCTTCGAAGAAATGTCTATACTATTTTTCGAAGTGGAGTCGGTTCTTAATTCATAACCTGTAAGTTATATTTACAATGACAATGATGAGCCACAACCCTTCACTTGAATGCACTTCCTAAACATTGGACACAACTGATTTGAAGTATCCTTTGACCTTTTACTAGAATCATCAGTATCGAAATGACAAGAGAAACACTGTCAAAAAGAAAGCGTTATCAAGAATTGCTGTTAAAACAGTTGTGGTGGAAATGGAAGCAACATATTATTAGATCTTAGAACTGCCCATTTCTTGAAGAATCCGCAACTTCAACCAAGAACTAAAAGTAGGAGATGTTGTTTTAGTCGAAGGAGATAATAAAAACAAACTCTTATGGAAATTTGGTAGAATCATAAAAATTATTCCTGGACGTGATGGTAAAGTCCGATCATTCGAATTAAAACTGGTAATGGGATTTTAAAACGTACTGTTCAACATCTATATCCTCTTGAACTTTAGATATTTTGAACTTTAACGATTTAGTTATGCTTTTTTTTCCCCTTTTTTTTGTCTATAATGATTAAATTGATATCGTTAGTTAAGTTTGCTCAGTTAAGTGGAAAATATTTTAGAATTTAGTTCATTTATTAGTTAACATTGATTATTTGATACCGTATTGGAATTGAAGTGTTGACTAATTAGTATTTTTTAATATTTTTTTATAGAATAGTGATTTATGTACTTGATTGTATGTATACTGAGTTAGATGAAGTCTTGTCAGAGTTCAGGTGGGGAGTGTGTTAAGGAATATTCTTTGATATCGCCAAGAGATGGCGTTAGGAGTAATCTATTGGCTACTTGACCTTTCCCCTTCTGACACGTGACTTGAAAAAATATTCTTCTTCTTGAAGGTAGAATTTTGATGCACTACCTACGCAATAGAATCAATTAGATTTAAGCTGGAACTATTCAGTTCTTGCCTCTTGAGCATTAAATATCGATTCAGGCATTTTAGCCTACATGTATATATGTAATATTAAGCTTAATTAAAATTTATGGAAAACCCTCCAGGCCATGCATCTCGTCCTTTGGATTATGATGATTCGACTTTGATATAGAACTTTCGTTCCATATATATTGCAGTTAATTATTATCCCGAGGAACTCGGGCGAAGCGAATTTGTTAGTTCGATTTCTTTATCACGTTTATTCGTCTGGAGAAAATTAAGGAAATATTCAGCTTTGATTGGCATTTGCCAATTTTGTTGGTTGCGCGATTCTTTTGGAGGAACTGGTCACGTGTTTCCCTGTTGTATTGTGTATGTTGGCTTGTGGATTAGTAATGTATAAAGAAGGATGCATGCATTGAAAAAAAATAAAATAATGGCGATGATGCAAGATAGCGAAAGCGACGATTTTTCAGATAATAATTATGAAGAGATGTGGGGGGGGAAATCAAATCCAACGAGACAGTGTACTCTGTGCTCCCATGAAAGAGATTTCAGCGGTAAGCCAGTAAGAAAAGAGACCAGATACCAGTGTAGAATGTCGGGCATCACTCTGTGTTGTCCCTTGTTTCAAAAACTATCATACAAAGATTAATATTTAACTTTTTTCCGTTTGCCCGAGATAACTCGGGATAGTAAACTAATATTAAAAATAAATGCTTTTACACCTTCAAAAAATTAAAAATTCAACTTAAAACCTACATATTTTGATTTGTTTCGTTTTGTTGTATTTAATAATAAAATTAAAAAATGTTATGATTTTTTGCAATTTTTTTCAAAAAAATTTGTAAGGGAAGCGGTTAAAGCTGGAACTCTGTGGCATTGCTAGCATTCAGTTATCTAATTCCTTTTGCCACTAGTTGGCCCTAGAGCTTATGACCATCAGGTGTTTTTACATTTGAACTAAAGATTATGTAACGGTTGAATGGAAACTTTGTGATAAATGGTTTATGTTTTTAGAATAAATAATAAAATTGTGTTGTAGCTCTCAGCTCTAAGTATATCTGTTATGGATACAATTTTTTAAATGTACTGTTGGAAAATAACTAAGTAGATTTAATCTTACTTTCGAAGGTACTTACTTTTGTGGCCCAAAATTGTGCCAGTAAATTGCTGGGAGAATTTTAAAGAAATGACTTGCCTTACTTACACTGGTATACTCTTGAGAACAGTCAACTTTCCCTAATTAAAATCAATTAAACAATAAGAATTTGAATTTACCTTGAATAAGTTGAGAATATTTCAAGTTATATTTGTTATTACAAATTTTAGGATTTTTTTTTTTTTTTTTTTTTTTTTTTTTTTTTTTTCCCAAGTCTCACAACACATCATTTTCAGATTTGTTTAATGAAAAATTTGTTATTACCATGTTTAAAAATGCAAGATTTCAAAGCATTGTTAATCAGTTGTTTAGTTTACATTTGTTGATAATCTTATGCTGAAAAAAATAAAAATACTTTCTTCCTTGCAGAAATCAGCTGTTAATGCAGAAGGCAAACTCCCTCCTGTTAAAGAAGTCAATGTTCATCAGACTGCAAAAGATCCCCAAAACACCAGTGGATGCATGTTACAATAAAATTGTGATTAAAAATTACGTCCACTGTGTATATTAATATATTTTTATACATTGAAAATTATGTTTGGCTGTGCATTTTATGATATGTTGTTGATTTAGTTCATGAGATTAGAATAATATATTCTGTAAATATCCATTCTTTTTAGATGCAAGTAGTTGATAATTCTGTGATTTTGAAAGCAAATTTATGTGTACTGTTATTGTAGAAGGGATATTTTAGGGCACATAAATTAAATAGGTGGTTGTGTTAAATAGGCACAAAACAGGTGTTTGAATTCAGCATCATCAGTTAAGAGTAGACATTACCATTTATTATGTATGCCAGCAGAATGTAATATAACTGTGTTTAATTGCTTGTACTTAGAGATCAGAAATGAGAGAATTTACCAATATAAATTCACATTCTAAATTTGAAGAGCAGCAGTAAGAAATAAATAACTTCTAACCATTATTTAAATTTGTGACATATGCAGAGTGTAATCTTATTCATAACTATTTTTTGTACATTTATATTTTTTACTTTTCCCCCTCCCACATTAAAAGCATATATCGGTCAGCAAGATTGTTTCTGTTGTAATGCTTAGCATTACAGTTATCAATCATTAGTGCGTACTTTCTGCCTAGTGAAAAATATCAGGTGATTTTGATAGATTGGTAGCTGTAGTGTTAAAATTGTGAAATGCCTGTGTGAGAGGAGGCATTTAAATATGTATTTTAACTATGTTATGTCTAGGCAATTTGATGCTGGAAATTGACATAATTAGTAACGTTTTTAAACTGATTTAGTGACTTGAATGTAATTTATGTTTTAAATTTCTTTGGGTTTTATAACTTTTATATTTCATTGATCATTTAAAAATAAAAAATTCAAGCTGATTTCTGAAAAGTGATGTTACAGTGGAGCTGGATTCCAACTTGTGAGCCTACAACTATTTCTTAAGTCACTGTTGAAAATGTCAGTTGCTTTTTACGTGCTTCTTTGTTTCATATTGAGCATGTTGAACTAATCGAAGTATACAAAAATAATTCTAAAATTTTCATTTGAAGTAAATTTATATTTTACTTGAAACTAAAAAATCTTTTGTTACCTGTATGAAGTCTAATTTCTTATTTGTTGAGGAATGCTTTTAGGTAATTTTTGTGTAAAATTAAATATCTGTGCAATTAATGTAATATTAAGAAATAATTCTTTGTAATTTTCATTGCATAGCATCTGATTTGTCACAGATAATTTAAGTTTTATTGTCCTTTATTGTTTCATGAAATTGTCAGTTAGGGAAGAAGTATAAATATGCACCTTATCAGAACCCTGATATATTATTAACAAATAGTAATTAAGAGAAATTTCTGTATTGTATTCAGGTAAATTAACATTCCTGATTTGCCTTTCCTATATTTTAATATTTTATGTATGAAGAAATGCAGTCTAGTGAGAACTTGGTTATCCTTCTCTTTTTAAACTGAATCATTCAATCAGATTGTTTTTGTGGCTGACAGTTCCTGTTATATGTCAACCACAAACTAGTCAAGTAGATGGAATAAATCTATACCCCCCCCCAAAAAAATGCTGTGTGTGATAAAGTTATAATTTAAAATAACTTGTATTATATAATAAAGAATGCTTGTGTTGTATCTGTATACAGGGGGAAAAAAGCTTTTAAATACTGTTCTAAAGAATAGTGTTGTACAAATGAAATTGCTGTGAAAAATATTTACCCCTAAAAATTATATGAGTTCATAATTATCCTAAAAATTATTCATAAAGAGCTAAAATATATCTTTTTTCTTTATGAATCTTTTTATCTTTGAATAATTTTCCATGTAATTTCTAAATTCAGGTGCCAGTGCGGGAAACTTACCAGAAAATTCTGTTACAAGTTATTATTTTAACTAACTTTTTAGTAACTGAAATATTGGAAAATTTTCTTGATAATCATGGATTGTGTATGGATTTTTTTATATATACCTGTTGGTCACTGCAGTAAGCCAAAAAATACAATATTGTTTTCAACTTTAAATTAAATTGATCATAAAATTACTCTGAAAGAATAAGAGGTACTTAATATTTAGCATGTTTTGGGGAGAGATTATTGTGGATTAATCTTAAATATTTTTTTCAACTCTTTATGATGGTATACAGAGAATCATAATGTGGCCAGCAAAAGCCAGAAGACTGATTAGATGATCAAATTTTCTATGTGTCTGATTATTGTTTTTATAATTTCAGAAATACTTACTGTAATCACTTCAGTTTTTCTCAAAATCAAAATGATTAACTTGCTTTGTGCATTGAGATAATTGTCTATTTACATAGTGGCTCTTAAAAATATACTATGTATGTTGGGTTTTGTGTGTGCGTGTGTGTGTGCATTTTTGGAAATTTTATTTACTGTTAAATTTATCTTCATAAAAAGTAAATTCAACTTTCTGTGCTACAGAATGTGAAAGATAAATCTGCATTTTGTTAAAAATAAATATTAGTCTTTATTCTAATAAAATCGTAAATGATCCTCTGTACATGGTTAGAACTGTTGTTTTATCATTTCGTCATTTTAATTATGTATAGTGACATCTTCAGATGCAAAACTGCTTTCCTTCTTGTTCAGAATGTACCCAAATTAAGCTTTGCAGGTAATTTAAATGTGCTTTTTCTGTTGGCTGCAATAAAGCAAATTTTATAAGAGTTTGTTTTAGATTTCTTCTTGCTATTTAGATTCAAGCTATAAATGATCTGTTGACTTAGCCTTTAAAACTTTTATGGTCAGCTCTTCTGTTATAGTTTCTGTCTAGTGATACTGTGGTCTAAGGTGATATTTTGCTATATATATTTAGTTAATTTGCCATTTCGAATCATAAGAGTTATGTTAACAGTAATAAATACTTATCAATCTTATCATTTCAGACAGAATTACTGAAGAAATCAAAGATATTAAAAAAAAAAGTTATCAGATTGCATTTCTTTTTTAAAAATTGAAGAACCGAAGAAGTAGGTTGAACTCGAGTTATATTACAAAAACTTATAAACAAAAATTTGGAATCTAATCTTATTGTATAGAATCCATTCTTTCTCAAAGAATGGCAAAATTCAGCACAATTAGTCCTGTTCTAGTTACAACTTTTCTGATATTTATGAGATGTCCAAAAATTTTAATTAATAATTTGATAAATGACTTTAGCATATATATCGTATTCATGTTAAATGTGGGGAAAGCTAACTATGCATCCAGCCTGGTCACCTGAGTTTGAACTCAAGTCAAGTCGAACTACTTGTGTGCAGAGTTCTCAGCTACTGGTGGGTCTTTCAATAAATTTTGGAATGGTTCATCAATCAAATGTGATTTAAATTATAATATTTATAAATTAAAAATAATAGATGCTGAAAAACTCTGCATCACATAGAATACCCAAGCATTTGATACTCTTGGTATTAAAAAAATATTTGACTATTTTCTTATTATGCAAAAGCGATATCGCTTCAATGAAATGGATTCATCCTAGCAGATTTTATGTCACTGGTTACTCAACAGCCAAGGATCACTCTTCATTGCACCTTCTGAAATTCTATTCTACACATCATTTTGGAAATCACGGATATAGAATGAGAATTTCATTACCATTAAACTGAAGTTTTAACTTTCAGAATCAGCGAAAGCCATTTACTTTGAACCTGAAATTTAATTAAACCAAAGTAAGCAGTTTGTATAAAACGTACTATTAAGAAATTTAAAACTGTTAGCTGCTGTGCGTAGTTCAGAGTGTTTGATGAAAGTTTCAAGACTGTTATTGGTAAAATGCAGTTAGGTGCCATGATACCAGAAATAAGTTGGTGGCCCAAAAAAGAAGACACCAAAGTACTTTTCTTTGGAAAGGGGGGAGATTTTTTTACATATGGTTGGGAATTTTCTGTTCAATATTTTCCCGATATATACTTACATGTTGACCAACATATCCGATATATATGTATATAGTTTCTATCCAAAAGCATTTGCTCAGCCTTGATATAGGACAGGTCCTGATGTAATTTTCATGAACACAGTGTAACTTATAGAAAAGACTAATCGTTTATGAAATAATATGCATTCAGAAAGAAAAATTTTTGTAACTCTAAGACTAGAAAATAACATATATAAATTCTTACTTTTTAGGAAATAAACTATTTACATTTCTACTGCATAGCTACATAATATGTTGGTGTTTAAAAATTAAAAGTGTTATGTTTTGTCTTGCACATCTTCCAGAGGAGAGTATTTGAAATTTCTTCATTGTCCAGAAGTCGAGATGACTACCCGAGTACAGTTTAAATAGTGATTTTGGGCATGCTTTTATGACTTTCATGCAGAACACAGAACCTTCCATCACATATTCATGAGAGTTGCTATTTTAATAGTGAGAGTTTATTCTGGGTAGAATTATGAAAAATGACAGCAGTTGAGCTCCATATGATGACAAAGATACATGGGCGGCATTCTGCAATGCCATATAAAAGCTCGTTCGGGAGTGCTGTCAACTTAGACTTTTTCTTTTAATGAATGATAGACTAGATGTAGCAGTAATGTGAAACTGAAACGCATCCAATTCCATAACCATCAAAACTTTCGCGAAGTATAGAGGGTTTTTTTTTTTTTTTTTTTTTTTTTTGTCTTCGTTTAAACTCTTAATGTATCAAAAAATGGTTTGGTTTAATCATCAGCTCTCATGTAAAATGCTGAGATGTATATAAAAATGAAAAGTTTTAACTTGTTTATGTATCAGTAGTGGGCACATTCTGCATCGGCATCGACGCATCCAAGTTACAGAATTAATAGCATAACAATCAGAGAAGCCCAGTTCATAATGTTATACTGATATACCAATATTTCCAAGACTGGACCCGACTGTCTTGGATCACTTGCAGTAGTAGTAACACGGCTGCCAAGATTCATGGTTTGAGTTGAACCTTCCCTCCTTTTTTCCTAACATCATTGAATAGCAAATGTTTTAGGATATTTAGGCATCTGTTTTTTACAGCAGGGGGTAGCATAAAAAGGGAGAAGTTCATTATTATGCCCCGCTTGTTGGTAATGAAATTCACGGGTTGTTAGGATTAGATTATCTAAGCAAGGTCAAACTGAGGGAAGTAGTGGACAATATTGATGTCTTATATGCATACGTTGAGTTCATCATCCTCTCAAATATATGATGTGAAAAGGTAAAAGCTTTTACCAAAATTTATGCTAAATAATAAACTGAATTTGTTATGTAACAAAATACTTAATGAAAAAAAAATTTAAAGCTGATTGAATTTTAATCTTACTATATAATATTTTATAACCAGTTTTTAATGAAAAAATGTATTTTAATCGGCTGTTTTTTTTATTTTGAATGATGATTGTGGTTCCACTATAGCATGATCTGAATAGCTATATTGAAAATTATTATATTATATTAAGTCATTATTTTTGTTGACGTCGATCTTTCAACACATCGCATTATCCGGAGCCTAAGCGGTAGTAGCAACTGCCTACGGCGGCAAAACCAAATTAACTCCCCCCCCCCCATTTTTTTTTTTTTTTTTTTTTTTTTCCCCCTATTGCCTGAATCTAGAAAATGCAGGAATAGTAAAATAAATACAAAAGGAATTGACAGGCTTCTGACCATTCCTAAGTCCTGGGGTAATGCGTATTTGTACACGCGACGCGAAGTGAGAAAAGCGCACTCGCAGGTGACAGGATTTAACAAGCATTTTTTGCCCTTCTATAGAGATTTAAAGCAATGCTTTATTTATGCAATAGCGTCCGACTGGTTTATTTGGATTGTGGTAGCGTTGCGATTTTTGTAACGTTTACAACGTAGTGGATATGAAAATTGCTTTTTAGAGGTAAGTTAGTATTGTTTATTGTACTTACACATTTAATAGTCTAAGTTCACTCAACGATTTTTTCCAACCAAATTGGCTGTTTATGTATTTATGTTTAATTGCGATTTTCTGGGGTTCTATTAAACCAGTTTCAATACTACATTTGCTATAAGTATTGCTAATAACTTTTAAATAAGACAGCTTTTTGGGTAGTGCTCTGTGGTATGCCCGAAACGTATAACATTTTTTTAAATCCCTATATTTTGATCCAAGGTATCTCGGGTTATTTTTTACCATTCTTTAGAAGATGCGCTGTATATTCGGTTTTGATTATTCAATTAACCTTATCCAATTAACTTTTTGTTTCCAAATGTCTGACGAAGAAAAGACTATCTGGCAGCCAATATAAAAAAAAAAAAGTGGGGAAAGCAAACCCAACTTCAAAAGTACACAGAAGCGTTGCATAGCTTTTTAAGAGATGATAATAGTTCCAAACAAAGCAAAGAAGTAAGCGATTGTTGAGATTTAGATACTATCATAAATTATGATTTGGACTATCAAGGGAAGAGCAACATTAATGATGAAATTAAGAGTTGTTGTAGACAGGAACAGGCTCATCAGGTTTCGAGGCAATGGATACTACCACGGAAAATGAAAGAGGCCTCAACAAAACTCTGTCATTAGACCCAGGATTACGACTCGATGGTTTAAGCTATTCAGATCGAAAATTTTTAGTTAGAAAAGGTCCATTACCTCCTTTATTTGGTTATAATTTTCCGTTAGACAATCAAATCGAACATTTAGTGCAAAGTACTATAACAGAATTTTACCCGTGTCCAAATGATTGGCTGGTATATTCTGTGTTCTACTTTTGTTACAGACTTTTTGGTAATTCAAAATTGAGTTCGTTTTTAAATTAGGGTTATAGAAATTGGGAAAATATTGGTGAGGTATTAAAGTATGAAGACTTGAAACCTCATGTAAATAATTTGAAATTATGGAGCTTTTAAGACAGTAGATTCAGCTGCACGAAGCTTAATTAATCCTGAAATTATATATTGGCATGAAGTAATTTTACGCATAATGTTACTAATTAAATTGCTTGGTGAGAGTTCTTTAGCCTTTCGGAATACAAGCGCCATGCTTTTTGAACATAATAAGGGAGATTTTGTGAAGTTAATTTAGTTGCTAGCTAAACTGGACCCAAAAACGAAGGAGCATATTTCGTAGAATCCTCAGTAATGAAGAAAAGGCAGCAACCATTTTGGGGAAACATTCGAAAGTATTGGGCTGTTACGTGATAACATACACTGGTGTGCAAAAATTAAGGACGAGACGGTTTTTCAATATAACTTTGTACAAAAGCTTTCCAAATCAACACATTTAATACCGTAAGATCCCCAATACGTAAGGACATGAGTAATGTAAGCAACACTTACTAAAAGAGAAATCAGAGGGATAAAAAGAAACTTTATTGAAAATGTAGCATGGAGCGCAATGCGACTGAAGGCCGAAACATCCCTGTGATGGGTGTCCAGCAAGAAACATCCGGTCTTAATAGGGGATATGATCTCCCCTGACTGCTAGGCAGGTTTCACAGCGTCTGCCCACGCTGAGAATGAGGGTGTCAATGAGTTGTTGAGGCATTGCTGCCCATTCGTCTTGCAGCGCCAATCGAAGCTCCGGAATCGTTACTGGTGGTAAGGTACGAGCTGCCAAGTGTCTGCCTAGAAAATCCCATACATGCTCGATGGGCCTGAGATCCGGAGATTGTGCCGGCCAATCCATACGTTCAATATCCTCACTCTCTAAGAGCTGTTCGGTAGCTACTGTGCGATGACATGGTGC